CCTTCCCACCAGAGCACCGCTAGGTATCGAGCTGCAGAGTTGCAGACTTTGTGCTCCCCTTGTTTACAGTCTTAATGGAATTTAAACCTTCTCCTTTATCCTTTCTCCCTTTTTAGTTTAGTCCCTGTGGCTGTTTCCAATTTTCCACTTTCTCTCCAGCTGCTTTTGGGGAGGGGTGCTTTTCCCACATTCTCTCCCCCTGCCCTGCCCCGTCTCCCTCCTCTCTCTGCCCTCAAAAGCACCTCTCTTCCCGCTCCCCAAGTTCACCTCTCCGTGTTGTGTACCTGCTGAATTCTGTGGTTTGGGTTGTGCATATAGTTGTGTGAATCCTCCAGTCAATTTTCTAGGTGTGCAGGATGGTTTAGTGTTGGTCTGGCTGAATTTCATGGATGCAAGACACACAAAAAGTTCCATGCTGTTCCGCCATCGTGGTTCCTCCCCTGCTGAATTTTTTAATGGATTATTCATTTTTGGGGTTTTGGGGTTTTATAAGTTTTTTATATACTTTGGGTACTAACCTTATTGGATAGGTGATTTTCAAATATCTTCTCCCATTCTATTGGTTGCCTTTTAGTTTTGTTGATTGTTTCTTTTGTTGTGCAGAACTTTTTATTTTGATGTAGTCCCAGTAGTTTATTTTTGCTTTTGTTTTCCTTGCCTCAGGAGACATACCTAGAAAAAAGTTCTTTTTGGCCAATGTCAAAGAAGTTACTGGGTATGTTCTCCTCTAGGATTTTGATGGTTTTCTGAGTCACATTTAAGCCTTTAATCCATTTTGAATTTATTTTTATGTATGGTGAGAGAAAGTGGTCCAGTTTCATTCTTTTGCATGTTGCTGTCCAGTTTTTCAAACACTATTTGTTGAAAAGACTGTACAACATCCAGTGCTCATCCCAACAGGTGCCCTCCTCAATGCCCATCACCCACTTTCCCCTCCCTGCCATCCCCCACCACTCCCACTTGATTCTCAGTTTTTAAGAGTCTCTTATGTTTTGGCTCCCTCCCTCTCTTTTTATTTTCCTTCCCCTCCCCCATGGTCTTCTGTTAAGTTTCTCAGGATCCATCTAACAGTGAAAACATATGGTATCTGTCTTTCTCTGTGTGACTTATTTCACTTATCATTACACTCTCCAGTTCCATCCACGTTGCTACAAAAGGCCATATTTCATTATTTCACATTGCCAAGTAGTATTTCATTGTGTATATATACCACGATTTTTTTATCCATTCATCAGGAAACCAATTTGACAATAAATTTCATATTAAAAAATTTAAAAAAAAGATGCATTTTTAGGGAGCTTTTGGTCAGATTACCACTGTCCTTTCACACACTATTGATAAGAGACGCAGGGATGCTGGATGAAAGAAATGCATTGTCAAAGAGTACTGGGTTTGGGGGAAGATTTATAATAAGGGTTCAACAATTGTGGTAAATACTTCATTTTAAATTATGCTTAATAAATTATTCTTGAGTCAAAAAAACTGCTGTTTTCCATTGGGTATTCTTTCTTTCTTTGTTGAAGATTAGTTGACCATATCGTTGTGGGTTTATCTGGGTTTTCTATTGTGTTACATTGATCTATGTGTCTGTTTTTGTACTGGTACCATACTGTTTTGTTTTTTATTATTAAAAAAAAATTTTTTTTAACGTTTATTTATTTTTGAGACAGAGAGAGAGCATGAACGGGGCAGGGGCAGAGAGAGAGGGAGGCACAGAATCGGAAGCAGGCTCCAGGCTCTGAGCCATCAGCCCAGAGCCTGACGCGGGGCTCAAACTCGCGGACCGCGAGATCGTGACCTGAGCTGAAGTCGGACGCTTAACTGACTGAGCCACCCAGGAGCCCCGGTACCATACTGTTTTAATCACTACAGCTTGGTAATATAACTTGAAGTCCAGAATTGTAATGCCTCCAGTTTGCTTTTCTTATTCAAGATTTCTTTGGCTAGTTGGGGTCTTTTGTGGTTCCATGCAAATTTTAGAATTGTTTGTTCTAGTTCTGTGAAAAAAGCTGTTGGTATTTTGATAGGGGTTGCATTAAATGTGTAGATTGATTTGGGTAATATAGACATTTTAACGATATTTTTTCTTCTAATCCACAAGCATGGAATGTCTTTCTATTTCTTTGTGTCCTCTTCAATTTCTTTCATCAATGGTTTAGAGTTTTCAGAGTACAGATCTTTCACCTCTTTAGTTAGGCTTATTCCTAGGTATGTAATCATCTTATGTGCAGTTGTAAATAGGATTGTTTTCTTTCCCTTTCTGCTTCTTCATTGTTGGTGAATAGAAATGTGATAGATTTCTGTATAGTGATTTTGAATTCTGCGACTTTACTGAATTTTTCAGCTCTAGCTGTTTTTTAGTGGAGTCTTTGGGTTTTCTATATATAGTGTCATGTCATCTGCAAATAGTGAAAATTTTACTTCTTCCTTAGCTATTTGGATGTCTTTTATTTCTTTGTTGTCTGATTGCTGTGACTAGGACTTTCAGTACTATGTTGAATAAAAGTGGTGAGAGAGGACATTCTTGTCTTGTTCCTGACCTGGGAAAAAGCTCTAAGCTTTTTCCCATTTAAGATGAGGTTAACTGAGGGTTTTTCATAGGGGACCTTTATTATGTTGAGGGTATGTTCCCTCTAAGTCTACTTTGTTGAGGGTTTTTATTATGAAGAGATGTTGTACTTTGTCAGTTGCTTTTTCTGCTCATTCTTATCCTCTCTCTTATTGTTGGTTGATTTGCAAATATTGAGCCAACCTTGCAAACCAGGAATGAATCCTATTTGATTGTGATGAATCATTTTTTAAGTGCATTGTTGGGTTTGGTTTGTGAATATTTTGTTGAGGATTTTTGCATCTGTATTCATTAGAGGTATTGGCCTATACTTCTCTTTTTTAGTGGTATCTTTATCTGGTTTTGGTATCAAGGTAATGCTGACCTCTTAGAATTAATTTGGCTGTTCTCCTTTCTCTTCTCTTTTTTGGATTAGTTTGAGAAGAAGAGGTATTAATTCTTCTTGAAATGTTTGGTAGAATTCACCTGTGAAGCCACCTTATCCTGTACTTTTGTTTGTTGGGAGTGTTTTGATTACTGATTCAATTTCTTTGCTGGTTATCAGTCTATTTAAATTTTATATTTCTTCCTGTTTCAGTTTTGGTAGTTTATATGTTTCTAGGAATTTATCCATTTCTTCTAGGTTGTCCAATTTGTTGGCATATAGTTTTTTTTTGTACAATATTCTCATATAATTGTATATCTGTAGTGTTGGTTGTTATTTTTCTTCTCTCATTTGTGATTTTATTTATGAGTCGTTTCTCTTTTTTTCTTGATATGTCCGGCTAGACATTTATCAACTTATTGATTTTTTTTTTCAAAGAACTAACTCCTGGTTTAATTGATCTGTTCTATTGTTTTTCATTTGTAAATTATTTCTGTTCTAATCTTTATTATTTACTTTCTTCTACTGGTTTTGGTTTTTGTTTGTTCTTTTTCTAGCTCCTTTGGGTGTAAGGTTTGTTTGTTTATTTGAGATTTTTCTTGCTTCTTGAGGTAGGCCTGTATTGCTATAAACTTCCCTCTTAGAACTGCTTTTGCTACATCCTAAAGGTTTTGGACTGTTGTGTTTTCATTTTCATTTGCTTCCATATACTATTTTATTTCTTCTTTGATCTCCTGGTTGACCAGTTCATTGTTTAGTAGCTTGTTATTATTATTTTTTTATGTTTATTTTATATTTTGAGAGAGAGAGAGAGAGAGAGAGAGAGAGAGAGAGAACATGAGTGGGAGAAGGGCAGAGGAGGTGGCAGACATAGAATCTGAAGCAGGCTCCACTTCGCCTGCTGGGCTCAGCACTGTCAGCACAGAGCCCAATGTGGGGCTTGAACCCATGAACCATGAGATCATGACCTGAGCCAAAGTCGAACACTTAACCAACCAAGCCACCCAGGAATCCCAGTAGTAGCATGTTATTTGACCTCCATGTATTGTGGTCTTTCCAGATTTTTTCTTGTGTTTAACTTCTGTTTTTATAGCTTTATGGTTATAAAATATGTATAGTATACTTTGACCTTCTTGAATTTGTTGAGGCTTATTTTGTGGCCTAATATGTGATCTTTTCTGGAGAATGTTCATTGTGCAAGTGAAAATAATGTGTATTCTGCTTTTTTAGGATGGAATGTTCTGAATATGTATGTTAAATCCATCTGGTCCAGTGCATCATTCAAAGCCATTGTTTTCTTGTTGATTTTCTGTTTAAATGATCTGTTCATTGATGTAAGTGGGGTGTTAAAATCCCCTACTATTATTGTTTTACTATTCATCAGTTCCTTTATGTTTGTTATTAACTGTTTTATATATTTGGGTGCTTCTATATTGGGTGTATAAATATTTATAATTGTTTTATCTTCTTGTTGGATTGCCCCTATATTATTATATAGTGCCCTTCTTTGTCTCTTGTCATCATCTTTGTTTTAAAGTCTATTTTGTCCTGGGGGAGGAGTTAAGATGGTGGATTAGTAAGGGAACCCTGGGCTTGTCTCATCCCTTGAACACAGGTAGATCAACATCAAATCATTTTGAACACCTAGGAAATGGATCTGAGAATTAAGAGAACAAAGTGCATAATTTGAGGGGGAGAATGTGGGAGACACCTGGTGCAGAGAGGTGAGTTGGGAGAGGGAAGAGCTGCAGTGTTTACACAAGAAAAGCCTTCCCCCTGAAAGTAGCTAGAAAGAAAGAGGGAGAGAAAGAGTGAAAACATGCACAGGGGACTGCACAAGAAAACTATTCCACAAAATCATTGGTGGGGAAAAAGGACAGGGTTTCAATACTGCCAGTTTTTTATAAACAGCGGAGTACAGTGTCTGAAGTTTTGTAGCTCAGCGCCTGGTGGTGCTTCTGTGAGGAAGCAGGATTGAGCCCTGGGAGCAGGCAGCAGTCTGAGGATCCCCTGGGTCACATGGGGAGAAGTGGTTCCTCTGCTCAGAGTGCAGTTTTTAGTGGCAATATGGCTTCTCCACTGGCAAAAGACCCTGCAGGTGCCATACAGCTGCCCGTTCACTGGCACAGACACCAGCTGAGGGCAGCAAAACCTGGTGCTGGCTGTGTATCAAGATTTACCATGAACTCCATGCTGCTGCCACTATGCAGTCTTGCAGCGGTTTTCTCAGACAAGCTGGTACTGGCCACAGCATGGCAAGACCCTCTCCCAGGAGATTAGTGTGGGTACAAGCTGTGGGGGTGTCTGATGTATGGGGTTTTGAAATATAGCTGCTCCTGAGATGAAACCCAGGAGGGTGGACAGCTTAGACACAGATGGTGAAGGGGGGGGAGCTGACAGAAGCCAGGGTCATGGGAGGGGTGATTGTGCATCTGTGAAGGCATAACTGTGAGGGTGTGAACTTCCCACTCTGGAGAGTAGACAGTAGGGTGAAGGCATTTTCAGCATTAGCCCACCAGCACTGATTGACCTCAGTGAGCTAAACAGTGAAACAAACCATGAGAGACTCTTTTTTTTTTTTTTAACGTTTATTTATTTTTGAGACAGAGAGAGACAGGGCATGAACGGGGGAGGGTCAGAGAGAGAGGGAGACACAGAATCTGAAACAGGCTCCAGGCTCTGAGCAGTCAGCACAGAGCCTGACGCGGGGCTTGAACTCACGGACCGCGAGATCATGACCTGAGCCGAAGTCGGACGCTTAACTGACTGAGCCACCTAGGCGCCCTGAGAGACTCTTAAAGGTAGACAACAAACTGAAGATTGATGGAGGGAAGGGGTTAGATGGGGAATGCGTATTAAGAAAGACACTTGTTATGATGAGCACTGGGTATTGTATGTAAGTGATGATTCACTGAATTCTATTCCTGAAACCAATATTGAATTGTGTGTTAACTAACTAGAATTTAAATAAAAATTTGAAAAAAAAAGGTCTATTTTGTCCAATATAAGTATTGCTACTCTGGCTTTCTTCTGACATCCATTTGCATGATAGATATTTCTCCATTCCCTTACTTTCAAAGTAAGTACTTTGGAGTGCTTAGTCCATTTACATTCAAAGTAATTATTGATAGATATGTATTTATTGTTATTTTATTATTGGTTTTGTGGTTGTTTCTGATTATTTTATCTTATTTTTCTTGTCTTTCATAGTTTGTTGATTTTCTTTAGTGATATCTTTGCATATTTATTAGTGGTTTGATATGTGGTACCGTTAGGTTTGTATATAACCTCTTCTACATATAACACTCTATATTAAGTTGATGGTTTTTTAAGTTTGAACCCATTTTTTACTCCTCTCCTTCCCACATTTAAGGTATATTTTATTATATATTACATCCTTTTAGTTTGTGACTTCCTTGACTAATTTTTTTACAGAAATACTATTTTTTAATGTTTTTGTGTTTCCTACCTTTATACTGTCCCTTTTGGTCTCTTTTCCACTGTAAAACTACCTTTTACTCTTTCTTGATGGGCTGGTTTAGTGGCCATTAACTCCTTTAGCTTTTGGTTTTCTGGGAAACTCTTTATATCTTCTATTCTGAATGATAACTTTGTTGGGTAGAGTATTCTTGGCTGCAGATCTTCCTGTCAGTACTTTGAATATTTCATGCCACTCCTTTCTGTCTTGGAAAGTTCCTGCTAAGAAATCTCCTGGTAGCCTTATGGGTTTTCCTATGTTAGTAACTCCTCCTCCTACTCCTCCTCCTCCTCCTCCTCCGCCCCCTCTTCCTCCTCCTCCTCTTCCCCCTCCTTCTCTTGTTGCTTTTAAAATTTTTTCTTGGGGCGCCTGGGTGGCTCAGTCAGTAAAGCACTGGACTTCAGCTCAGGTCATGATCTCACAGTTCGTGGGTTAGAGCCCTGTGTTGGGCTCTGTGCTGACAACTCAGAGCCTGGAGCCTGTTTCAGATTCTGTGTCTCCCTCTCTCTCTGCTCCTCTCCTGCTCCCACTGTGTCTCTCTCTGTCTCTCTGTCTCTCTTTCTCAAAAATAAATAAACATTAAAAAAATGAAATAAAATTTTTTATCACTATGTTTTTCCAATTTAATTTCAATATGTCTTGGTGTAGGTCTGCCTTTGTTGATTTTGATGGGAGTTCTCTGTGCTTCCTGGATCTGGATGCCTATTTCCTTCCCCAGATTAGGGAAGTTTTCAACTATTGTTCTTCAAATAAATTTTCTGCTCCCTTTGCTCTCTCTTCTTCTGGAACTCCTATAATATGAATGCTATTACATTTGATGGAGTCACTGTGTTCCCTAAGGCTATTGTCATTTTGCAAAATTCTTTTTTTTTCTATTTTGTTCAGCTTGATTACTTTCCATTGCTCTGTCTTCTAGGTCACTAATTCATTTTTTCCGCTTCTTCCATCCTACTGTTCATGCCCTCAAGTGTGTTTCTCATTTAATTTATTGTATCCTTTATCTCTGTCATGTTATTTCTTTTCTCTGTGTTAAGGGTATCATTCATGTCTTTCACTCTTTTCTCAAGTCCAATGAGTATCCTAATGATCATTACTTTAAGTCCTGTATCAAGCATGTGACTTATATCTGTTTTGTTTAGCTCTCTGGTCATGGCCTTGTCCTATTCTTTCATTTGGGATAAATTTCTCTGTCTTCTCATTTTGTCTAAGTCTCCATGCCTATTTCTTTGTATTAGGAAACTCAGCTCTGTCTTCTTTTCTTAAGGGTAATGGTGTTATGAAGAAGTCCTGTAGTGCCCTGCTGTGTTGTGTTCTCTGTTCCTCAGGGTCTCGTCCTTTTTTTTTTAAAAAAATTTAAATGTTTTATTTATTTTTGTTTGAGAGAGAGAGAGAGAGAGAAAGAGCAAGAGCAAGAGTTGGGGAGGGGCAGAGATAGAGGGAGACACAGAATCTGAAACACAGAATACGTGCACAGAATACGAAGCAGGCTCCAGGCTCTGAGCTATCAGCACAGAGCCTGACTTGGGGCTCAAACTCAGAGCAGTGAGATCATGACCTGAGCTGAAGTCAGATGCTTAACCCACTGAGCCAACCAGGTGCCCCAAGGGCTTCATCCTTCTGAAAGTGTCTCCAGTGTGTGCTGTGTGCCCTCTACTGTTTTGTCCTGGCTGCTTTATCCTTTACGCCCATCATCTGAAATGACTTCTGTCTGTCATGGGCAATGTTTGGTCCTTGGACTGAATGTGCTGCATTTTAACTAGGTGTGCTTTGGTCTGTTTGTGAAATGAGACCTGTTGCCACTGCCATCTGAGCCAAAGTTCTGCAAAACTCTGGTGTCAGGAGACATGGTGTTGGTAGGGGTTTGGGCTGGTCTTCTGAGGGATGGTGCCCACCATGCTGGGACTGGGGTAAATGTGACTGAGCAGGGAACTTCCACTAGAGCATGGTGGGGTGGGGCTTGGTGTAAGCAAATTAGATAGCAAGTGTGGGAACTGTGCTGGTTCCTGCAGGTGGCCCTGTGCTTATGCTGAGTGGTAGGGGAGGAAAATGGTGCCAGCCAGTTCCTTTGTTCCTGCAGGGTTCTCTTCATGAACTTGCCCACTGTGTGCCTCAGATGCTCTTCAGATCACTGTTTCTACACTGTGTGTCTGTGGTTTGTTTACCTGCCTTTTCTCTAAGAGCAGCACAATACCTTCTGGGCTCCATCCCAGCCAAGGCCACTGACCTTTAAAATTCCAGGCTTTATGCCCTGCTGGTCGGAAATCATGAAATTCAGTCCCTCTTGCGTTCCAAGCCAATTGCTATGGAGATTCATTTTCCCTGTGCACTCCCCTGTGTGTTAGTCTGTCTCTAACACTTCTCTCTGACAGTGGTTCCCTCCCTACTGCAGTGGCCATGATCCCTTTCTCTCCCAAATCACATCTCCACACCTCCCACCTTCTTCAATGTGGCCTCTTCTCAACCATTAGTTGTAGAGTTTGTTCTGCCAGTCTTCAGCTGAATTTATGGTTTATTTAGGATAATTTGATAGTCATCTAGTTGCATTCATGGGACAAGACAAGGCTACGGTCCTCCTACTCCACTGCCATCTTCCTAGATTCAACTATTGATTATTTTTTCTGATTATATCTCCATGTATAGTCTATTTACTTATTAAATTACTAGCTTCTGTTTATTTTGGCCTTTGTCTTTCTTTAAAACGTTTTTCTCAAGTAGCTGGTGATTATTGTTGACCATTTTATATTTAAGAGTGGTGTATAAAAAACTTAATTATGAACTGTATGTACATTGGTAGGGCTTCTTTTCAACATGAGTGGGTTTTCTGGCCAACTGTGAGCTTTACCTCACAGAAACCTGGCTGAAAACTTTCACTGGGGAGCCCTTGATATCACTACTTTGAGGTCTTTTTCCTTAAGCTGGTCAGATTCCCTAGAAGAATATCTCATCTCTTGCATCAAAGGTATTATAGTTTGGGTTCCCTGGGAAGCAGAGATTAGCATGCAAGAAGTTTATTAGGGAATACCATTGGGGTCAACACTTATGTAAGTGAAGAGAAAAAAGCAGGATTGTGCAAAAGAGAATTTGGGCTATGATGTATTCTCAGTGAAGGCCTTAGCCGACCCCATGGGAGCTCTGATCCTGTGATGGCCCTTCTAAATTATCTGCATGGGTATGAGCAGGGGCTCCATCTTTATACCCTCATATTGGTCAGTCATTGGATGTAGTTGTCCCTGACAGGAGCCATGGCCTTGGGAATTCTTCAGTTGAGACATTTCCTGAATAGGACTGACAGCTAAGAATTGTCTGCTGTCACTACTTCTGGAACCTGGGGGGAATCTTTGGTCTTTGAGATGGTCAATTTTATGTGTCAACTTGAGTGGGATAAGGAATGCCTAGATAGCTGGTAAAACATTATTTCTGTGTATGTCTGTTAGAGTGTTTCTGGGAAAGATTGATATTTGAATTGGTAGACTGAATAATGAAGATGCAGGTGGACATCATCCAATCTGCTGAATGCCTGAATAGAACAAAAAGGTGGAGGAAGGGAGAATTTGTTCTCTTGGCCTGAGATAGGATATTCATCTTCTCCTGCCCTCAGACATCAGTGATTCTGGTTTTCAGGCCTTTAGACTTGGACAGAAACTTACACTGTCAGTTTTCCTGGTTCTCAAGGCTTTTGACTCAGACTGAATCATACCAGCAGCTTTCCTGGTTTTCCAGCTTGTAGATGGCAAATGGTTATGAGATTTCTTGGTCTTTA